CCTCTGTTTTAGAAACTTTTGATTCTGTTCCAAATTTTTCTGTCATTAGTTGATACCAATAGAAGAATGTAAATTATATTGTAAACTTTTGTGTATATATTTGTATATCTATGTATATCTTGAGTTCTCTATGAACCTATTCAACGTTGTCTTCTTACATCCTCATGGCTGATTCTTAAATGGAGACTGAGGTGTTGTCCCAGTTCTCCCTGTCCTGCTCATACAAGAAAAACAAAAAGTTCAGAAGTGGCCTTTTTTGTCTCTTTTTCCACATACAATGTGTACTTTTTAGAAAATGGTGGTTTGCGGTATATTTTGAAGGAATAGACCTCTCTCCCCAGAATGTGACAACAGTGCATGTCTGGGATTCAAAAGTTTAATGCATGTGTGTTGTTTTTAAAATGGAGAACACTTGTACTGAGTGCATTGTAAATTTCTGAAAGATTTAAGGGGGAATGAGTAATTGTAAGTACAGTCATTTGAAATACTAAGTATCTCAAATCTTTAAACCAAACCGCACAGTTGCCACTTTGCGGGCACAGAGATCTTTATAATTTAAAGTAGCAACTCTGCTTGAAAATTGACCCTAAGCAAAGAATTTATTTTCCCTTTCGGTAATTTTTGTTCTTCTATTATGTATGGAACAAGTATCCCATTGTGTACCTACCTGAAATTTTAGACTAGCTGTTCCATTATCTGGTGCTCCATCCTATTTGGCACATGACATAAGAGGCAAGTTACTGATGAGAATTGCTCTTTGGAGGACAGGTATTGTCCTTCGCCCCCCTGCTGTGATTTGTTTTTTCATAAATCAATTTGGCATTGGCAAACAAAGCATCTTGGTTTTAATCTTGTGTTTCCTGACTTTTGTCAGGTACTTGTTTAATAACATTACAATAATAGTTAATGTGGTTTCCTCACTGATTCCATGTAATATTCGGCCTATCAGTATTTTTTATCCAAGACTACATTATGTTTCTAAGTTCAACTGGATTCCATACCACAAAACATCTGTTCTCTCTATTCTTCTGAACTCTAACTACTTGCTATAATAAAATGTTGAGTGCGGCGTGATCTACACCGTGGGTCCCAATAACATGGGATTGCCTATCCCCGCCGCAATCAACCTGTTAACTGTCTTGCAATCCCATAATATCAAGGTTCTATGAAGATATAGCGATATGCAGACCGTCAGCATCAACAAAAGAAGATCTACAGAACTGCGATTGGCACCTTTGTGCACAGATGGCCAATCACAGTTCCGTAGATCTTCTTCTGTTGATGCTGACGCTGACATGCTGCCCTGCTGATTGTCAGCAGATTGCCTTAATTTGATACAACCCAATTGTTCAGTTTTACTTCTTTCAAAACAATACTTTTAAATGTCTTGTGTAACATTTAAATTATCCTAATGTTCTTCTGTTTGGTTTCTGCTCTCTACTATAAACTGGTTTATAATTCTTCCCATTTTTTAAATTGAGATACAATGTTTGAAACTAGGCAAACACATTGTCTCTGTAAATTAAGGAAATACTGTTCAAATGCATTTAATATTTGTTGTGTGTACAAAGTTAATTGCCAATCAGACCATGGCATTCATAAGGTATGAACAGGTTGGCAAATATTTTTGTACACTTTTCTATTTTGCGAGTGTTGTGTTAATTTATAAATTGTCTCCAAAGTGTGGTGTGTGCTTTTTCTGTGTGATGTGTAAAATGTTGGGTTGGTGTAGAAATTTAGTTGACTTACATTAAGTGAACTATTGATAACAGTTTTATTCTCTGGTTGATCTTTGGTTTTGGATGGTTTGCCCAATATTGTTGAGGTCTTTTAGAATATTTGATCAGTTATCTGATAATCTTACTTTGTGAAACTGTTCTGTCCATCAATTGAGTGCAAATTCCTTGGGTCCTGTAGTAAATCATAGTGGTGAAACCCATCAAAGGCTAATGTTCAATCCAAAAATATCCTACAAATTGAGTTTTGTTTCAAAACACTTGTGAATAATTTATTTTTAAATATTTTTAGTCTTGACTTTTGTACGAGTGACCTGCTCTGAATTCCAGATTTTCGTTTCTGGTTTTAGTGAAAACATACCTGTCTAATTTGGTTTAACTCCATGTTCATGCTGTGATTAAAATTTTATTGATTGCACAATGACTTATCAGCACTTTTCCTGTGGTGAGGAACTCTACCACTAGCTTAAAAGAATATTTGTTGGTTAAGTTGTGTGAATCAATGTGTTTCTTGGAGACACTATGAATAAAGTCCCACTGTTGAGAAAATAAATTCGAGTTTTCAATTGAGCTCCATGAGAAATGAATGTACCTCAAAAAATAAAGCAAAAGAAAGATTAGAAAAGAAAAACGATGTATTCAATTTTTTTTTGGTCATAGGCAGGCACATCAACAACGTCTAACAGTAAAATAAGGACCTTCTGACAATGTAATGTGATAACCAGTTGGATAACAAAAAGGTAAAAGAGGTCCACACACACAATTTTTTTTTAAAGTTGACATGCAATTTTTAAAACTTCAGTATTATTTTAAAATGGCCCACATGTGAATTGAATTAAGAACAAAAACCCTGTCCATTTACAATAATAATCAAGACAAAGCATCTGTAGTTGTACTGTGCAGCAATCAGAAGACAATTTACATGAAAGTACACTGGCAAGATAAATTAGAGAGCAAAGTAAACCATTAGGGAAAAATGCAAAAATTTGTCACAACTATCAATACAATCACTGGAAGTAAACTCTTAAAATATTGTGCTGTCATGGACTGATATACATATTGGCACTAGATTACAATTATGTAACACTTTATCTACAGAATAAATAAATATTTGTACATGAGCAGCCAAACTTTCAACATGAAACCAATTCATGATTAAGAGGCAAGGCAATCAGATCTATTTGAATGTCTTATCAGAGCTACAGCTTCAATTGCTAGCGAAACATTTAATTACAGTGATGACCAATCAGAGGTACTAGGACCAATTTTAAATAGAATAACTATCACACAAAAATGCGAACTAGTATGGATGCTAACTCTAGGTAACACATGTGAAATGTGGTGGCACAATCACTTATTAATACTTATGAAACCAAAACGGAAAAATTCACTCAATATTTAATACTAGCACAAAGACCAACAACACTACTAAAGGCAGTAGGGAAACCATGCCAAAAAGAAAATTTGAGATCAGAACTCTCCAACATTATTTAGAATCACCAAGCAATGAAGAGCAGTCCTGAAAAATTATTCACTTTGGTCTGAGAAAGTAAATCTAAACAAATTTCCAAATCTGTACAGGGTCAAGTATAAATAGGTGTCTTTGGAAGTCTTCTGTATAAGATTTTGAAATAGATTACATATAGATATAGATATATATTTAACTTTACAATTTTAATCTTAATATTGCATCATCCTCACCAGGATATGAGTCTTTTAGAAAATACTAATCTACATTTCCTTTGGTTCCACATCAGTTGTGAGACTATCGTACTTTCAATAAATTACATGATTTGAAAAAGCCATTTTGGCCACAAGAAGAAAAAATTGTCAATATAAATTAGGTAAGTGCTCTAATGTTTTGTTCCATAGATAATACAGAATACAATATAAATATTAATAGAATAAATACAAACTGGGACCTATTCAATCTCACACTTTAAATTTAAACCTACACATGAAAAGATGAATATCCTCAATCAAATGAGGGTAATACTGTGGTGTAGTCTGACAAGGCGGTTAGAGATTGAGGAAATCATTGCTAAATGCTACAATACATTTTGGAAAAGAAGAAAACAAAAACATTGGGATGAGTTAGTACAAGGTATACAATAAACTTTACAACACACAAGAAACTTAACAAGAAACATACTAACAAGAATACATGTCTCTTACATTCAGAGATCCAGGTCACACAACACACTTGAGACATGAGAGAGAGAGATTAGAAGTCAACTATGTTGCTGTGAGATATCTGTTGGTGGTAACACTGGTATGAACTCCTGTGAGAAATGGCTACTATGAGCATACCAAGAAAAAGAAATTTCATAAATATAATCAAACAAAGAATAGTGATGTATGAGATGTGTCAAAGCATAGCAGTCTTAGGTGCTTCAATTTCAAGTTGACACCAAGGCATACTCTGCAATACATCTTAATTTGCAGCTTTAATATTAAAGGTGTACTTTATCAGTCCTCGAAATCATATTTGCCACTTTCCGTTATGTTGCTTGATACTCAACTTAAATAAAGCACGGAAAATTCAAACACATCAACCTTTTAAAAACAAAGAGGGCATCCACTGCTCTGGTTTAAAACAATAAGACTAGTGATGTGAGATTTCATAGAAATATGTGATACTGGCCTCATCTATTTACTCAGATGATTAAGGAACACATCTGTTAGAGATTTAAAGATCGAGGTTTCAAAGTCGCCTGGCTAAGGTACTTATGGGCTTGTTCTGTTAGTTCCAGCTGGTCCAGTGTCTTTCCACAGGCAACCATCTCCCATCGCACGTCCAACTGAAACACAACAAAAAAATGCTTTAGCTCTAAATTCTAGAAGGGATAAAGATAGATAAATACAGGGATTATTATTGGTGTTAATTTTAACTACTGAACAGCGGCAACTAGTTTTTCTTTTAATGGGAAAGGTTGAACACAGAGAAAATAACAAATGGTTAGAAAGGACATAGGACATCATTTATGTAAATAATACTACTGCATAAAATTTGATATATGTATTAGTGCTTACAAGAAACAAAAACATGCACAAATTATAGAGAACTAGCATGCCCTTAGTTAATAGGAGAAAGAATAAAACAATTATGGTACTAATAAGAAAATAAGTTTGGGAATAAACAGCCATTACAACACAAGTGTGTGCCTCACAAGCCAATAACCTGCAAACTCATGCAACACTTTCTAAATGCCCACACAACTTCAAATCTCTGGAAATATTTGCAGAACATGTTAGTATGTTACTTGTTTCACACAATTCTCAAGGACCTCACCTTTGGCACTCTGAGATCTCTGGATGTATCTCCAAAATGGATACGTTTGACGACCGATTGTTTGGTAGGTGGTGTGAGCAGAGATGAAGTCTGACACCCACTCTGAAGAGGAACAAGACAGGCTATACAACATGATCTATCAAGTACTCAAGGCACCACCACCTCATGACACATCAAAAAGGTCTAGAGTGACAGAGAACTGTCATGTCATACCCAGTACCAGATTTCCCTTCACGCATAAATAACTTTATCTTTAGGACTTGGACAGTTCAAGTTCTGAACTAAAAATACTAAGGAGACTGAGCAGCAGTCCTCTCCAACAAGACAACTTAAAAATATCCTGCACCACAATTCTATTCTCGACTGTTGTATGTTGACAGTCACATAACACTGCATTCCATTTAAACCAAGATGGAAAGTTGCTCACCTTGGTGCCGGGGGAAGGAGGGTCATTGGCCACAGGTACTGCTAGAACTTCATCTAGATCCGTCATGATGGAGGGCGGGGAGAACAGAACTGATCGGTCACCAACCAATGATTTACTCTAAAAAGATAGAACACAACATAATACAATTAATTTTGCAGAAGATGAAAATGAGGATTTCAGTCACTACAATAAGTTAGCGTTGCAAACTCACAGGTGTTTCAACCACAAATGAACATGAGGGGGAGAAGGACACTGAACGGTCAACATTCATGGATTTGCTCTGAAATGAAAAGTACATATTTCTTTAGCAATGAGTTCAAAATAAATATTGAAGTTCTAAACTGACATAATTATTAAGATAAACAAAGGAGGAAAAAAAGAGACTTACAGGTGACTCAGCAACAAAAGAAGGATCAGTCACCCCCGGTACGCTTATATTTCCTGGAGTACTCCAAGATGGGGCAAGGGCTTTCCTTACTTTCTTATTTGGTACATTTTCCTTTCCAAGAGGTGTAATGCCTCGCCGCTTAACGGTACCCACATAACCACTGTCCTGCAGAGAATCCTGATACAAAGATGAAAAAATCAAATTAAAAAATTTGAACATATATGGGCATGAGCGCATTAATTCATCACTAAGTGAGGTAGTACCTGGTATGTTGTATAATTGATCATGCTAGCAGTATCCGTTTCATACTGTGAATCTGACAAGTCAGGCTGTTCTTTTTTCATAATTTCATCAATATCCTCTAGACGAGTAGGAGTTTGAGGCTAAAAAGTAAAAAATTAAAAATAATAAAATCAAGGCGTAGGTAAAAAAAATACACTTTAGTTCAAAGCTACATATTCTTTGGTTCCCATACCAAGTTCTTCACAGCTCCATTTTTCTTCTCTAGCTTAGCTAGAGCATCCTTGAATGGTGTAGGTGTTCTTGGAAATGATAACCTCGTCTTCTTACTAGGAGTTGAGTCATTGCTCCTAGACTCAGTGCCACCCTCACTGTGCTCTGAGTTGGCCGCGTGACGCGCCAGTCTCTGTCGTGCAGCCTGTTGAAGAGGGAGTGTGTCTGGAGTGCAGAGGGGGCCCGGACTTCCCTCGCGGTCACGGTCCCCATCACAGTTGAGGGGTGTTGACTGAGCGGCCACGAGGTTCCGGCGCACCGGCGTTCCAGTCAGGGAGATCTCCAAATTCGGCGAGTTCAAGAATTGAGATGGACTGAAAGGCACTTGTTTGATGGGGGTGGCCTGCCTGTCAGGTGAACCTCCTCCTAGACCACTACTCTGCATCTGAAAATGTTAGTAATACATGTGGGTTACGGGCGGACACGTAGGATAAAGTTGAGGGATTTAAAGTCAACTCTGTGTTAACTTACAGACTGAGCCGCAAAATCAGACGATATACCCGAATCTTGAGGTCTATTAAAGCTCACTATGTCATGTTTAAATTCAGAAAATGGTCCCGATAATAACTGCATCTGACTATATGCTGAAGGAAGAAAAGAAAGGCGTAATAAGTATAATTTCAAATTGCTTTAGAGGAGTCTTCTCACAAAAAGTTCAACTTACAGCTGATCGGTTCCTTCTTGGGTGACAGTTTCATGCCATCATCAGAAGGACTTGATTGCATACTCAGATACCTGCATAAGACAAATAGAACATGTAACAGATCCGCCACATAAATGATAGACACCAATACGATAAGAGAAAGACGGGGAAACTTACTTGAAGGGTGACGGCGAGAACGGATCCGGCGATTCCATTTCCATTTTCAGGTCAAACACTCTCTGCTGCGGCTGAGGAGTCAACAATGGTTGCGGATTGTTGCTTTGCGTTGAGAGGGGACTGGGCGCAGGACTCGGCGCCGAGCTCTGACTGTGAGACTGGTCGTAGATCTCTGGCGATGACCACTCTGAGCTCTGAAACATGTTGAGAAAACGGAGTGAAAACATGGAACAGCGGGCGAGAGGGGAGGGAGAGGAGACGAAGGGTTCTCGGGAGGCCGGCGCTCACCTCGTACATGCTGATGCCGTACTCGGTCATGTTGAACTTGTCCTGTTGGGCGTCGCGGCGAGAGGCGGCCGAAGCGCTGCTCGTCGGCGTGGACGTGGTGGCCGAGTACACCTTGGGGGGAGCACCGGAGCCCGAGCCGGTCAGGCGCGCCAGGATGCCGACGGAGATGGGCTGGTGCGAGCTGTGGTGCTGCGCCGTCAGCGGCTGGTGCTGCTGCAGGGACGCGGCCGAGGACGCCGCGGGCGCCACCATGGAGGCCTGCGGCTGGCAGCGGCGCGCCGTGCTGCGCCCGCGCCCGCGGGACTCCACGCCGCCGCCGCGCATGTCCGGGTCGAACTTGCGGCGCATCGTCGAGTTCCAGTGGTTCTTGATGGCGTTGTCGGTCCGGCCCGGCAGCAGCTTGGCGATGCGCGCCCACTGGTTGCCGAACTGGCGGTGCGCCTGGTAGATGATGCGGTCCTCCTCCTCGGTCCAGGCCGTCTTCTTGATCTTGGGGTTGAGGTGGTTGTGCCAGCGCTCGCGGCACTGCTTGCCGATGCGGCCCGTCAGGTGGCGAGCGATCAGGGTCCACTTCTTGGGCCCGTAGCGCTGCACCAGCTCCAGCACCTTCTCGTCCTCCTCCTTGGTCCACGGGCCCTTCACCAGCGCCGGGTTCACCACCTTGAGCCACCGCTGCTGGCACTGCACGTCCGACCGGTCCGGGAAGTTCTTGGCGATCGAGTCCCAGTTCTCATTGTGTTCCTCGACGAGCTGCTTGAGGAGCGCGTCCTGCGAACACACGGTGGTCGTTAGCGTCGCGGTCTCAGTCTCTCGTCAGGGTGGCACTCCCTTAGGGGCGGTCCCCACGGGCTCTGAGGAGGTGAGTGATGCAAGCGCACACATCCCCCAGGGGCAGAGCGGGGAGCGGCTTGACCCATCCCCCCCATCCCCGTGATATTCAAAAGACCCCC